TGTTTGGTTTTCTGTTCTTGTGTTAGCTAAGAATGATGGTTTCCAGCTTCATCCATATCCCTGCAAAAGACATAAACTCATTATTATGGCTGCATAGTATTCCATGGTATATATGTACCACATTTTCTTTATCCAGTCTATCATTGATGGGCATTTGGATTGGTTCTGAGTCTTTGCTATTGTAAATAGTGAAGAGTAGCCCTTTTAACCATACCTGTCTGCTCTCCAGTGCAGATCCAGGAAAGAAGCTATGCCCTTCCTCTGCCCCAACCTGAAGTGCTGTGGACGACCTGTTTCCCACTCTGTCTGTGGTAACTAGATGAGGCCCCTTCCTTATACAGCCCAAGGTAGAACTCAGGAAACTTTCCTTCTTTTATAGCACCTGTCCAAGAGTTTTGCCCAATTTTCCATCAGGTTTTCAAGTAGGTTATAAAATACTTAAAGGAAAAGGGGGTTGGCCCTTTTGAGAAGCCCATGGCAAGAATCACCCTTTCTTGGTTATGGACTACTTGAAAAAAAACTATCTCATTTACCCCCATCCCCCCAGCGCTAAGCACAATGCCGAGACATAGTGTGTTAATAAATGACAAAAAATTATTGGTGTTGGATGGAATAAAGGCAAGGTACCCGAGTTGCCAAACAGGCTAAAAGACTGCATAATCACCTTATGCAAAATGCCATTTATACCAAGGTCAAGGGAAAAGAGAGTAAAATAAAAGGGAATTCTAGTTACCATAGTGACCCTGTTCTGCTGGAACAAAAACACTCAATGGGATTTAACAAGGACTCCCGGAAAATTAATAGCCATCATGACTGTTCCTGATTCTGACAAAGATGGTGGTGGAAGAGAAGAAGGGAGAAGGAAAAGCAGGCAACAGAGGGGTGGAGGGCGAGAACTGTGTAAAGAACGTCTCATAATCCCCGGAAATTAGCTAGATACATTGTTAAAACTACCTCAGATGAAAACTATGCTCCAGAGATAAAGTGACACCTTCTCTTTGATAAGCCAAACAGGTGCTTTCACAATCTGCTCTCACACTCTTTCATCGAAATATTAGGATCACATAATACTGTATATTTTGTGGGATGGGCAACTTCACTTTTCATGATTTTTTAAAAAACAAAAATAATCTTGGCAATGAATTTTTTGCTATTTTTTTCTCTTACAGACTAACCTCTATTAACTTTTTGACTTGGAAGATCCCTTTGAATATTAAAAATATATTGAGTATAAAAGAGCCGGGCTCTCTATTCAGATATATTCACAGGTGTGTCACACATTTTGACAATGGCCCTTAACAGTCATAATGAAGGCACTGATGCTACCTAACGTAATCCAGTAAATATGAGGTATATGTTTGAATAGAACAGTAATTTAGAATGCTGTTTAGTTCTTCCCTAATTAGATGGCAAAGTGTTCCCTTGACAGACTAATTCATTCATTGAGCACTATCCCAGATGATAGAAGTTTAAAAATAAATAAGACACTGCTACTCTCAGATAGCTAGCAGTCTTCGGGAGGAAAGAACATTTGTTAATCAAACACATGCAACAGTGTAGGCCATGCTTTTAATACGGTTTAGGTACTGTGAGCAGAGGTGAAAGAAGTGGCAAATTGGTTGGCCAGAGAAGACTTCTTTCTCTGGAAACTTTCCTTCTTTAATGGGAAAGAGGAGCTTATTGAGTCAAAGAGGTATGTAGGACAGGCTCAGTGGCTTCCACCTGTAATCCTAGCACTTTGGGAGGCTGAGGCAGTTGATCACTTGAGCTCAAGAGTTCAAGACCAGCCTGGGCAAACAGTGAAACTCCTTCCCTACAAAAAGTCCAAAAATTAGCTGGGTGTGGTGGCATGTGCCTGTAATCCCAACTACTTAGGAGGCTGAGGCAGGAGAACTGCTTGAACTTAGGAGGTAGAGGTTGCAGTGAGCCAAGATCGTGCGACTGTACTCCAGCCTGGGCAAGAGAGCCAGATCCTCTTTCAAAAAAAAAAAAAAAAAAAACACAACACAACACCATGTAGATCCTCTGGTGGATAAGACAGGAAAGACTGTGTACAAAGGCAAAGGGTAAAACACAGGCCTTTTGGAGCAGCTCATACATGGCTAAGAAATGGAAAAGATGGTCCAAGAATAAGAGGCGAGGTATCTGTCCCACAGAGACAAGGAGAATTCAGATCATGAAGGGCCTGGTATGAGAAGCAAAAATACTTGACCTCATCTGTAGGGGGTGGGAAGACCCAAAAAGATTCTCAGCAATGTGGTATTTCAAAAGAAACAATTTCTGTGGCAATATGGAAAACAGCATCAAAGAAGATATATCCTTGCAGTGAGAAAAGATGGAGTGAGGTAGGCAGATCACTTGAGTCCAGGAGTTTGAGTGCATCTTGGGCAATATGTTAAGACCCTATCTCAAAAAAAAAAAAAAAAAAGATTGGGAAGGTTTGGGCAGTTGAAGAAACAAAAGACCCAGATCGACTGAAGACAGAATTAAGAGATAATATTGACTGTGTGGAGGAGAAAAGGGGAGGATGATGACTCAGATTCATGCCTTGACTTACTAAAGGGGTGGGAACACAGGAAAAGACTAGGTTTTGAAGAGGGATTTGATATATTTGGCTAAGGACCTGGTGAATTTTAAGTTTCTGTGAACAAACAGGTTGGGATGACCAATAAACTGATAATGGGTCAGATGTTACTAATTCCAAGCTGGAGATAAAGGCTTGGGAACATCCTGTATATGCCTAGTGGGTCCATGGAGTTAAAGCTCTAGAAGTACAAGAGATTGCCTGCTGCATATGGCTATTTGATTAAAATTTAACAATATCAAAAATCAAGTTTCTTACCCTTACTACTGACCTCTTAAGTGCATGAGAGCCACATGTAACTAGTGACTACTATATCGGACAGCATGGACATTGAACATCTTCATCATTGCAAAACATTCTATTGGACACTATTAAAAGTAAGTATTGTTCCAAAGAGGGAGAGAATGGAAGGCAGAGGAAGGAACTTCCAAGGACACCGCAGATATGTGTGAAATGCCAAGCCCAAAAGCCAAGGTAGGAGAGAGACAGCAGGGACTCAGTCACATCGGGGACATTTGACTTCCTCCGGTATGATACTGAGAGAAGCTCTGAGTTACTGAATGCCTTCCATGAACTACATATTGTAATGTGTGCCTTCCATGTCATCTATCTAAAAATCACACAACCCTGTGAGGAAAGGGACCCTGATTCCTATTTGCTATATTTCTTATGACTATTAGACAAATTTCAATTGTACACTTTCGCCAGTTTTACTAACTGTTCACATACATCATCACATATAGGGTAATCACTGACTTCATTTTCTAGTTCAATTCAAGAATGCAGTACCATTCTTTAAATATAAGAATGTGCATGAAAGAAAAGCCTGGTAATCTAAAGCTGAAAAACTGACTCAATATGAGCCAAGTTTTTGTTCACTGTGTCAGGCACTGTGCTAAATGCTCTACTAGGGTTAGCTTATTTTTAATCATTTCAATTTTCCTCGGATAGAACATCATCCTCAATTGAGAGAACAGGAAACTGAGGACAAGACAGATTTGAAAATTTGTTACTGTTTCACAGATAATGGCAGAGCCCTGAACTCAAACTCCGATCAGTCTAAGTTATAAGTAAATATTCCATGGTATTTGCTTATAATCCCCACCTTCCGCAGAGCCCACCTTATGCAAAATCCTTAAGCAAATTTTTAAGGTCTATTGCAGAAGAACAATTATTTCAACAATGCTTTTGAAGTATATGTTTGCAGCTGAGAAATATGTATGGAGAAAAGCTGCTTCTACAAAGATGCTCAATTAGTGAAACAGACAACCAACATTTGCAAAGCACAGAAATAAGCCCCTCATTTGGTGGCATGTGGTTCTTCAGGTGTTTCCGCTACATCAGTTTTACACACAGAAGATGTAAACACCTTGAGGGTAGGTAATATCTGATACCTTTCAAGATCCTCCAGAGCACACACTTAAGATTATATTAGCAAGGGCATGCAATCAAAAGCTGTTAGGGAAATGTTTTGAGAAAGACGCAAGTTCTATTTTTCACGCCGTATTTTGTTTCTTTTCATTGTATAGTTGAGTGGTAAATCACTTTTCTGAAGTCAGTTAAATCAAGAGCTATACAGTACATGCTCCTTAAGAACAGCCTTCTCTAAATAAAATTTTGGTCCAGAATATACCCACATCCTTAAATCCTTGTCTAAAGATAGCACAAAAAGTGTTATAATGTGTTTGTCTGTGTGTGTATATATGATATATATCAAGGATATATAAGATCAAATCTATAAAATATATTATATAGAATACACACACACATATATATATGATCATTAAATGGAGTTATGTTTTTACCAGAGGACACATTAGTACCACAGTGGGGCAGACTAAGCTGACTAAATTTCACGGCTTTAAATGATTATGATTTAATGACTGATTTTAGTTATGACATGCAGTAACAATATCCCTATAGATCTTATTATACATAAAGTAATTACAACGCATTTCACAAATAGTAAGTTGATAAAACTCATGCTCTCACAATCTGGTCTCAAATACAAATCTAGTCCTTAAATATTTTTGAGATTTGGCTCTTTGCCTTAAAAATCTGTATTACCTGATACCTGAAAAACAAGCAGTAAATTGAGCACAGCACACCAGCTTAGTTTATTGAAGTTGTGCAGGGAGAAGAAAATTGAAGCTAAAAATGAATTATTAAATATTTATCTTGATATAATAGATTACTAATTGTTGTACTAATGAAAAATACTTAAATATTACTTTTTGAGATAAAAGGAATAAGGTGTTCTCCAAATGTATTTAAGCTGTGGTTACCTTAGGCTTATATAGCAACCCTAATGTCAACCAAAATAGTCATCAATAATTAAAAATTTAGGATAACAAACAAAAAAAAACCAGATAACAAAAAAGTTCCTGAGAAGAAAATAACTACATCTTCACACAAATTCTTTAGAACATTATATTTCATAAAAGACAATGATAAAAAAGTACAAACATTTCCATGAGAAGCAAAAAAAGAAGTGGGAATACAAGAAATTACTAGCATTTATTTCAGTGCATTTATATAGAAGCCTTTCATCTAAATAAGTAAAATAATCTTAAGTACACTTCCTCTTTCTGATAAATACTATGACCATTTCAGTTCTCTCGACAGGCATACTTGCAAATCCAAGACGATAAATCTATAGTAGTATTTATTTGAAAAATACATAAAGAAATACATCAAAGACAAGCAAAGGCCAAATAAAATGACACAATATCTGCTTTCACTTGTAGGAAGCCTCCAGAAAGAGAATATTGTATTGGACATTCTTCCATTTTGTTTTAAAATAGGTATAAGTGTCTTGGCTGGGAAAGGGGTATATAATCAAGTTTTTAAAACATAACTGCATTTACTTAATATTATAGTCTTCTTACTGAATACCTCGTCACAAAAACAAAAATCTAAATGTAGATTTTTAAAATACTCATAAAACCCTAGTTTTGGCAAATAATTAACTATCTCCATGGTGAATTAGATATAACGTCATAGCAAATGCGCACTCTTCCCCTTTTGTTCTCTACAGACAGGCTCATTAATCATTACTTCCTTCTGTAGCTGAAAAGCACCATGTAATTTTCCCAGTTAGTGCCATAGGGACCTCTTATTAGCCCCAGGTCCACATATACAGGTTTCTTGACTTCGAGACTAGGAAATACAACAGATAAGTTATCGGAGGATGTCTTCATAATTTCAGAAAGATCTCAATTTGCTTGATTTCATTTGTTTAGAAATGAATAATACTCTTTCCATAGACATACCTAGCATTGCACGGATATGGAAAAAGCAATCAATATATGCTCATTAATAAATCCTCGAAACATAATATAAAGAAGATAGTTTGCATTTGCAATGTATTTGTTAATCTTTATGTAATAGATTTACTGTCATACAATGGAGATAACTGGGCACAGCTCTGTCAATCTTACAGAAACACATTAAGGTCACTGTTTATAGGCAAAAATAATTTTAGGTCTACACTAAAAAAGCAAACCAAACAAACAGCAAACTAGTGAGGGTTTTCACAGGATAACAAACCATATTCAAAACGGAAAAAAAGCAAAATGTTTATATCTCACTCCTGAAACAAAAATTAACATCAGACTTAAGAAAATAAGGCAGATACTAGTAGTACTAAATTTCCTTGAAACTGTAAAATGCATATAAAAATAAAAAGATACCAATGTGGACAGCTCCACATTAAAAAGAGAAAACAGTGTTTCCTTTATAGTAAGACTCAGAAACAGTCCTAATTTTCCCCACCACTATTTCGGTATTATTGGGTTAATTATGCCCCTATCATATTAGTGATCTACAAATGTTAACATTCCCAGTTTGACTTTTAAAACTATATTAGTAATAGACACAAGAAAATGAACCGATACACAAATAAGGTACAAATATTGTAATTTTCAGAAAGTTTGATTTTTCATTATTGAGTACCATAAAAGATAAATATTTTGGAAATATTTCTAATAAATAAATATGAAAATATTTTGTTGGGTATCATAACAGAGAAGCTATCCATTTTCTCAAAGTGTATAAGAATTTCAATTATTTTATAATTTATTTTGTGGTCATTTGTATTATCAATATTGCCATTCAAAGTAAAACTTATAATCTGAGATAAATAACCATAGTTCTGTTTCAGGTAAACAATCTTTGAGGCAAACATTATACAAACATGTCTCACATATAGATTCCTACTGCTGTTGAAGAGTCATTTTATTTTCTTATTTTAAATTTGTGAAAATATCAAGATATTTTAAAGAATCTTTATAATTGCTAATTTTCAAAAAAGAATACTGTTTGGCTTTGCTGTGGAAAACTTCATCCAAAATTAAGATATGTACTTGGTATCAGGTAGTAAGACCTTTTTCAGAGAACTGTCATATGAAGATAACTGGACAAAGCCCTGACACTCATGGAAACATACAAGATACTACATATAGAAGACATTATAGTATCAGTGCACTTAATAACTGACCATGTATTTTAAGATTATTATATTATACTTTTAGAAAGGAAATTTTAGTAATTAACACCAGATATATAATCTCTTAAAAGTGAAAAAAATATATATATAGTTCACTAACATTCAAGGGTCCCCTCCAAAAGCGAAATTCTATGTCTGACAACTAAACTTAAAATTTGCTTTTATCTGCTAAGTATTTATCTTCATAAAAATAGAACATTTAATTCTTATCTAATAGTATAATTCATTTGTATATTATAAGCACTATTGGGTTTTCTTCCATAGATCATTCTTTTAAAAAAAAACTGACTTGACTTCTTTTTAAATGAAGATACATTTTTTGGCTCTTCTAAACTGGAAATAATAAAAGTGCTGTTCACTGTGAATTTAAAAAAAATACACAGTATAAACACACAACCTTGGAAACATTTTTTGAGGCACAAAATCCCTGACACACCAGAGGTACATGAAAGACATTTAACATAAAGAAGTCCTTTATATCATGACACATCACAACTTTTAAGATTTTCTTGGTAATACTCATGCAATATGCATAAACAATATGGTTGTGATTTCTAGCAAAATCAGACGAGATTGCAAGCAAGGAAAAACATAGGTAATCCTGGTAGGAAGAAAAGCTGTTGAAGTCCTTTCTTCTTTCTCTTTAAAGCCTAAGAAAGCTGTGACTTCTTCCACACAAAAGGCTGAGGTCTAAAGCTCAAAACTAGTATAACAGTTTACTGTATTAGTTGGCTGTCAATTATTGACAGTTCCTTCATTTCACACAAGGGTTAACCTTTGTTTAGTGGCATAAATTTAGTGAGGTTTCTTTCATGCAAATAAAAAATGTCTATAAAAGTCCAATAAAGATATAACGAATTACATGCAAAATTGCAACGCATCTTATTTTTTAACAATTTGCACACATTAATTTGTATCACATATATACAAAATATGTTTAAATGGAAATAAAAGCATTCTCTTGAATTAAATTATAGATTTTAGTATAAAAATTTTCTCTTCGTAGGGAGCTCTCTTAACTTCCAATCTTAAGGAGTGGCTTCTGGTTTCTGCGGTGCTCACCTTGTGGGTATGTGTCAGAGCAGGGAGGACGGGTGAGAGAAGGGTGACTGTATATAGTCCCACTCTGTAAACATTGAGGACAGATGGCTCTTCTCAGAAAAAAGGGCACTGTGACACAGCCAATCATGGACCTCCACTAAGAGTGCATTCCAAATTTATGATCCAGCATTGTGGTCTATATTGCCAGGAGAGCCACTTCTTTTAATAGTCTTCAATTGGAGCTAACTCTGGCATGAGGTTTACAGATATGTTTGTATACAACCTATCAACCAGTATTTTTGGCCTATATATTAAATTGTTCAACCCATCGATGTACTGACGCTCCTTGGAATACCTTAGTAGTTTATACCTAGAGTTTTAGAGGAAAAAAACAAAAAAGTAACAGAAACATGTTCAAAAAGGCAAATTGATCAGGACTGTGTTCAAGGTCATTTTAAATTAAAGCAGCTAATGCTCTTTACAATTTCTGGTTCTTGTGCATAATTTAAGAATATTTAAACTCTTATTCTAAATTAGCAATTTTACTACTCAAAAAATGCCACCTGAAAAAATTATTTTGCACTTTTACAATTAGACATCTTTAATAAATAAAATGTTATGCTTTAAATAGCTAACCGGGCTCTTTAAGGTAAATATGTATATTTATTAATACATATATATGTATATCTCTTCAAAACAAGCACCAAAAATGCTTCCTTCTGTAATGATTCCCTTCAGCAAAAAAATACTTTCCTTCCATTATGAAAATTCTCTTCAGCAGCTTGTTTGGGATTCAACCCATTTTTATTTACCTTGGTATCTGAAGATGACATTCAACTTACCGTCCTAAAAACTGGACTTCACCTCTATGGTGATGAGGAATTGACTTGTATTTTCCTAAGTCTCCCTCTGGTCTGGTTACATTATATCCAGCATAGTGAACTCTATAATACCATATGTGGAAATGAAAATATAAAGAAATAAAATATGAAAATGGGTTATGTGAGTTCAATTTTAAAACACAAAAGAATGATTCAGTCCAGAGTTCCCCAACCCCTGGGCTACAAACCAGTATAGGTCCATGGCCTGTTAAAAACTGGGCCACACAGCAGGAGGTGAGTGAGAATTACTGCCTGAGCTCTGCCTCCTGTCACATCAGCGGTGGCATTAGATTCTCATAGGAGGATGAACCCTATTATGAACTGCACACGTGAGGGATCTAGGTTGTATGCTCCTTCTGAGAATCTAATGCCTGATGATCTGAGGTGGAACAGTTTTATCCCAAAACCACCATCCTGGGTCCATGGAAAAATTATCTTCCAGGAAACTGGTCTCTGGTGCCAAAAAAGTTGGGGCCCACTGCTCTAATCTATATGCTGACGATAATTTCAGAAAGCAGTCTTAACTAAAAAAAAAAAGGAGACACAGAAAACAGGGTTTATAAACCTCAAACATTTCCCATCCCAAATAATCTTTTCTTGGAATACATAAATACTATAGTTTACCTAATAGAAATAAAATTTATAAAAATTCTATTAGTTAACAATTTGTACCTCAACATACCTGTTCCAAAGGTCATCATCTTCTCCTCCCCATCCCCAGAAGGCATTAGGAAAACCATTGATCTTTCTAAATTGTTCCACTGTCAGCCCACTTACACCACCAAAAAACTCTTTATATGGAAGACTAGAAAAGAAAGATACAGTATTCTAAAAATAAAATCATACTAGTTTGCCATGTGAAATGAAGTCTGTAGTCCTTCATTTGCTTTGCAAAATATGCCCTTATATTCTATACAGATAATTATATTAGAAAATGTAAAGTATACTGAGAAACAAAAGATTTTTATGAAATGAAATTACATGCACTAATGAAACAAGTGCATGTAAATACGTTATGTTAAACATAAAGCACTTATGGTAACTGGAATTTAATATTTAGTATACAAATAAGGCTTAAAATAAAACCTGTAAGGCTCAAAACCCAGTGCCCCAAAACTGTGTATTTTCACAACAAAAGTAAACATGATTAAATATATTAATAACGATCAATGCATGTCAGACGTTCCTAAACGAGTAACATTTTAAAAATTAACTGAATAATAAATGCATTATTTATTATATAGAGCAGGATAAGTATCAATTACAAGAGACAGTAGCATTTAATTTTCTAGCTGTCTACTTTTATAATGATCTTATCTGTTGGGATTATACTCTCAAAACACTCATGGATATTTACAAATATATTCATTTTCAATGCACTGATATTTATTAAAATAACTATATTTTTATTTGGATTTTATTTTCCTTATCCTTCCCTAACTCATACTCCAAGGAATTTGTCAAATGAAACAATGTTTTAAAACTTTTCTAAACTGTATTTTTACTTTGCTAAATTGTTCGATCGATATAGACTGGCTTTCTGATGTTTAGGCAGCGTCCCTAGACCTGCCGCCCTGAATACATTCCTGTGGCCTGAAACATGCCCGTTGGGAGCAGATGCTGGAGCAGAGAAAACATGACCATGCACAGCACCCAAAAATCAAGCAGAGGGAAACATAGCTGCGATCACAGCAAAGCTGTCTCAGAGGAGGAACCTTTTTGTTAGACTCGCCTCACACACTGTGAGAAGGACGTACTGCTTGCCAGCTGGGTTCTCCTGTGGCACACAGACCAGGGAAGAGTAGCTCCTTCATGGAAGCCTAGGGTTGTAGAAGAAAGCAGTCTTGGCCTCGCCCTAGGTCAAAGGTACTTCAAGACAATAACAGTGACCCTGATCCTAAAGCCAACCATATTCTCTCCTGAAACCTCTCAAGGCTCACACTTGGGAGCTTAGTGTTCTGGTATTATAATTAGACTGGCTGGGGGTTCCATAGGGCCAATAAGTGTTCTCGGCACCATGTACCCTCACATCAGATGGATTATTCTTGCCCAGCCTAGTAGTTTAGGAGAAATATGAAATTGTTAGATAGGGAAACATGAATAAATGTGTGTGTGTGTTTACTGACATGTATAAATCAGCAAGCATGTCAATTCCATTTACTAAGTGGAAATAATCAATTGTACCATACAAAGAATGGAAAGTTAGTAGGTAAAGTGAAAGTATAACAAACTAAAGAACAGAAAACAAAATCCAACAAGTAAAACTCCTGCAGTGTTTATCTTACACTGTCCAAAGTGGGAAATACACCAAACCTGGGGGGGTGGATCTGAGTTCTCTGGTCAGCAGGTGTCAGTGTGGCCACCACTGTGGGGCAGGGATGCTTCACCAGGCTTCATCCCACAGCTGATGTCTATGCACTATGCAGCCTACACCTTGATCTACTGCCATTCTCCCTGAGCTGCATTCTAATTTCTACACAAACGTCCAAGATGCCCTCCTAATTCAGGGATTAATCTAGATGGATACGAATACAGCTGACCCTTGAACAACACAGGTTTGAGCTGCACAAGTCCACTGATATACAATTTTTTTCAATAGAAGTTACACTGAATGTTCCTGTCCTGCCTCCTTTCCATCTCCAACTCTTTCACCTTGCCACCCTTGAGACAAGAACAACTCCTCCTTTTTCTCAGCCTACTCCACATGAGGACGACGAGGATGAAGATCTTTAGGATGATCCACTTCCACTTAATGGACAATACATATATTTTCCCTTCCTTATGATTTTAACATCTTCTCTCTAGCTTACTTTATGGTAAGAATATGGTATATAATACATTAAGTACGTGTTACTCAATTGTTTATATTACTGGTAAGGCTCTTGGCTAACAGCAGGCTATAAGTAGTTAAGCTTTTGGGGAATCAAAAGTTATACTTTTTGATTTTCAACTGTATTCCAGCGGGGGTGGAAGTTACCACTCTAACCCCTGCATTGTTCAAAGGTCAACTGTATTTTGTTCATTAGAAAGTGCTACTTTCAAGTACATCAAATTAATTTAGAATTCTTAGTTTATGTGATCTTTACAATTTTTCTTTTTAGTGAAAATCGGTTACCTTGGGATCTAATTTGATTCCATCAAACTGACCAAAATCAAGTTTCCAGAAGTGGTAAGAATCAGATTGTGAACCTTGATGGCCTTCTTCAAGGTAACCCTATACTCAGAGTTCAGATACAGAGGTAAAAAAGGAAAAAGTTTTCTAATGATAACAATGACCAGGAAAAAAAGGAAGAAGGAAGAAAGGAGGAGGAAGGAAGGAAGGGAAGAAAGGGAAGGAGGGGAGGAGACGGGAGGGGAGGAGAGGGGGTAGGAGAGGTGGGGGAAGGAAGGGAGTGGGGAGGGGGAAGAAGAAAGCAAGCATTCTTTTCTTGCTTTTGTCAGACTTTTTGCTTCTCTCTACTCTGTAGACAAGCACCATGCAAAACTGTAACATAAGCAACACCTTCCTGCCCAAAGCAACAAACAGCTTTCTTTTCTCTCCACTCCCATTAGCCAATGAAAACTGTGATCCTTTCCCAGGATTACACCTGCAATCTTTCATGTCCTTTTAAGTTACTATCTCAGCTCCGATAACTGTTCACATTTTAAATTATCTCCAATTAGAGAAGGAAAAGATTTGTTTTTTTATTAAAGGGCAGGTCAAGAGTGCATAGTTTAGGAAGACAATAAATAGCAGAAGAGAGGGCTTTGTGGCCCTCCAAACCATCACTGGAGGAGAGCAGGCAGGAGTCACGATGAGTTATGTACCTACAAACCCAGCAGGCACAGAGCATATATGATCTCACAACAGATCTATGGATGGCATCTATTATCCCAGTGAACAAGGTGTATACCTTCAGAGATGCAAGTGACTTACCTATAAGTCCTGGAGCTATAAGCGTGAGAACCCAAGTTTAAATCTGTGTGTGCTTGACCACAGAAACCAGGTTTTTTCCACCACACCACATTCAAACCTCTGTGTAAGGAAGCACACAGAGGAACGAAAAGCTACTCTGTATACTGACTCCCCAGGAGGACGTGATGAAGTTAAAGATGATATTCTTGGGATTCTTGAGTTCTCTCAGATTTAGGGATATAAAGCTGCTATCATTTCAATGCTATGACTGTGCAATTATATTGTACAGTATCAGGAACAGTGCATACTACTTACATATACATATATTTATCCAGCTTTGCAGCAAAATGACGTGGCATTTCTCCACATCCGTAATAGTTCCGGTCATTTTCAGGTAGATGATCCACATCGTGGAAGATTACACAGTCCCAGATACTGTCTTTCATGGCCTCTTTGAAGCCCACATTGAAGAGCATCGCACGATTAAAAGGTTGTGTGCCAGTCTTCATGGAGCAGACCCAGAAAAAAAAATAGAAAGGTACTCACACTTCATCATCTGACTTTTTTCTATTATTTTTCAAACCTGTTGCATCATGGTCAAATGATTACAATAATTAGACCCAAATCAAACAGACAAGTAATAAACATACCTTAAGATTTTCAAATACACTGTTTAAATTTACTTACTATATTATTTTATAATAACAGAAGAACACACTTAGTGTCTAGCCCATTGGTACATCAGCACATTTATATAATTTATATTTCTGCCGTACTTGAAATACGTCAGTATATAGATTATTTGTGCCAAGAAAAGAAGAGTGATTAAAAATAATATAGGTTTTATTTTTTTAGTGGAGCTTTCCATATGCTGTCAATACTAAGAGAAGAAAACTAGAAATGACCCAACAGTGACCCTTCTCAAGTACCAACACCAGGGAAGTTTAACTTTGTATTATCAATGCTTATAATAAATTCCAAGAACATTTTAGAGAAAAAAACGATTGGAACTTATTACAAAAAGCCCTGCTTTCTTTATTACAAGCATTTTCCTTTATTGTTACAGAAAATGCATTAAAGTATGTGGGCAATAAATAGTTTCTATTATTATTGCTTATGATTAAGGGCATTATTTAAGGGACCAAAAAAAAATAGAATTTTATTATACAGAACCCAACTCCCTAAATTACAACCATTTCCCTTTATCAGTGAACATAAATTAAGGTGCACTGGCAATAAAAAAAGGAAAAAAAACCTTCATTCTGCATCTAAAGAAAATTAAGGAACATTTACCAATGTCTTAGCAACATCTGTCAAAACCATTCTAAAATATAAAACAAAAAAAAGGATTACAACAGAAGTGAATGAGACACACGTTTTAGTCATCATCAGAGTTCTCCCTCAAGCGTGAAAATGACTAATTTGTATTCCTTGGCCTTGCACTAACTTGAGGTAATAGAAATCACCTTATTTTTTACAGCCTCTTTTTTCACCAATGAAATACAAATAAAAGGGAGTTAAATTATAATGTTATGACTAGTACATCAACATCAGCTTTAACAAAGCTACTTTCCTTTAAGGTTTTAAAAATTGTTTTTATTAAACATGGACATAATACTCAAGGCTTATAACAGAAATAAGAAGTTCCATATCTAATCCATCTCCATCCCCCAAGAGCAATACATTTCAACTCTTCCAGTTTATTCTGGTATTTATGTATGTATTTTGAGCAAATGAGAGTTCTGGTATTTCTTGCTTCTTTGACTTTAGACACTGTCTCTTGACTTCTTATCCTGGTAGTGGAGGAGTTAAACCACCATACCTCCTGCTCCTACTGCTATTCTCCCAATACAGTTTTATCATAATTTTTGGTTAAATCAAGAGTTTACATTATTAGGACTATGTAAATATTTAATATTTCTTCAGTGCTGAGTAAATGGATTGTTTTCTTTCATAAACTGGGATTAACTACAGTTTTCCATATAACTATTATTACTTTATATAAAAGGCCCAAGAAATATGCCCTACACCTATTAATAATTGGTATAATCATTCAAACACAGCAAATCACCTATCAATTCCTTCTCCAGCTCTCAAGCCAAACTCTCCCTTGCCCTTTCCAGACCATGTGTGAATATCTCCTGGGTCTTCTTCATTTCCTAAATCACACATGTCTTTTCCTTGGCTTTCTTAATTTGCTGAGGCACATTCTTCAGGAGCTTCCTTAGACCAATGAAAATATGTTTTAGCCAAGGAATGACTGAAAATGCCATTAGTCTACTTTGACATTTGTCATTTTGACTGGGGAAAAAAATCCAGAAAAAAAATTGCCCAGTATTGCTGAGAGCGTTCATAGGTTTCTGGTTCATAATCATTTGTCATTTTTCCTAGAATTCCAAGTAATCTAGAACCTCTGTAATATCTTCTCTTTTCTGTTCATATTCTAAAATTTTAACAGGTTTCATAGCAGATTTGTATCTTATTCATGTGCGCATGCGGGGCCCCTTTAAAGATTTATGTCTTCACTTTTAGGAAATTTTCTCTGTCTTTTTTTGATCATTTTTCTCTCACTCCCCTCAGGATTTTTTCGGCTATATTCTTTACAATACCCTTGATTAGTGGAATGCTGTTAATTATCTACAGATGTGTAATAAATCATAGCAAAACTTAGGAGCTTAAAAAAAGCAATAGTCCTAGCCTGGGCAACATGGTGAAACCCCAACTCTACAAAAAATACAAAAATTAGCCAGGCATGGTGGCATGTGCCAGTAGTCCCAGATATTCAGGAGGTTGAGGTGGGAAGACAGCCTAAATGAGCCCAGGAGGTCGAGGCTGCAGTGAGTTGAGATTGTACCACTGTACTCCAGCCTCGACAACAGAGAAAGACCCTGTCAAACAAACAAATAAATCATTTATCATGCTGATGGCTTCTGGGGAGAGGGAATGCTGGGAGCAGAGTGGAGATGCCTCATCTCTGCTCCATTAAGTCCAGGGCCTCAGCTGGAAGACTGGAAGGCTAGGCAGCTGGACACGCTGGAAGGCTTGACTTTGGGCAGGAGGATCCACTTCAAAGATGACTCACATACATGGCTATGAGATGGTGCTGGCAAGTCAGCTTCTCTCCACAGGGCTGTTTGGGTGTCTGTATGACAGGGGACCTGGCTTCCCAAGAGCAACTGATCCAGAGATCAAGGCAGAAGCAGCAAGGTCTTTTATGACCTAGCCTCAAAAGCCATGTACTGTTCCTCCCACAGTATGTGGCTCCCCATGCAAAGCAGTCCTTATACACTGTGGGAAAAGACTATACCGGGTCTGATTACAAGGAGGCAAAGACCCCTTGAGGTGGCCACCTTGAGGTGATTACTCCCATGACATACTCTTTGATAGATTCTCTTTTCTTAGCATTGGTTCTATTTCGGAAAGTTAAGTTTTTCTGCCAGCCATTCTACTGAAAGTTTTGTTTTAGTTATTTTCATCTTTCACTAACTTTGTTATTCTCTGATTATTCTTCGTGATGTACTACTTTTGTTCCATAGATTATCTTTCCTTCCCTCACTGTAGATCCTAATTATAAGTCTTTGTTCTTTCCTTTTTGGTTTTTGAAGATTTCCTCTGCTTCCTCCATTGTCTGTGTTTTCTACACTTGCTTTTTTGCTTGGATTTGTCTTATCCTGCGGAGGCTTTCTTCAAATATCTGGAGATTCTTGACTTGCCCATTCATGTTTGAGAATAAAACGCTCATATGCACCTGCCAGGGCATACAATGGGGGTGTGGCTCACTTCTTTGGTGACCCGCTACTCAAACCTCTAGGGGGAGCAGGCAGATGGGCAACGTGTGGGGCTCTGACCCCATGGCAGTGTCTAGGGTGAATGTTCATAGCTGAAGCCCCAGTGGGCATGTGTTACATACAGTATGCTCTTTCAGTTTAACCACCTGTAGGCGGCTTGTGTTTATCAGCTCAGTTATACTCTCTGCCTTATCACAAAGACAGAGGGCTTTCTGTATCCTGGGTTCTTGCCTTGGTATACTGGAAGAATCGGATTCACATGGGTGCTTGGAGAATGAGTGCAAGGTTTTACTGAGTGGAAGTAGCTCTCAGCAGATGGATGTGAGCCAGAAGGCAGATGGAGTGGGAAGGTGGTTTTCCCCTGGAATTGGGCGGCTCAGTAACTGGGCTCTCCTCCAACCACCCCAGCCAAACTTTGTGTTGTTCCACAGGTCGATGGCCTGCTGGCATGTGCTGGTGCCTGTGGTATCTCTTCCACCAGTGTGTTCTTCTCAACGTCCATCCGCTTGTGTCTCTTCCTGCTACAATCTCAGGGCTTTTATAGCCACAGGATGGGGGCATGGTGGGCCAGGGTGGTCTTGGGAAATGCAACATTTGGGCCCAAAAACAGAAATGCCTGTCCTCACTCAGGTCCATGGGACAAGCCCGGGGGTGGAGGTATTGCCAGGGACCCACCATTCTCTACCAAGCAGTTCCCTGCCCACCTCCTTCAGGAGAATATGTATGCCTGGGGGTCCCTAAGGCCAGCATGCAGACTTACTTAATCCCCCTGGTTTTAGGCCCTTCAACACAGCTGCATCAGTACCCTCAAGAGCTTCCTGCTACACTTTTTCCAGAGGATAAACTGGGAAACATTTCTACAAGATACAACAGAGTAATCACCTGGCAATACAAACAAAGATGAGCAACTGGGAATGAGTGTTTTGTAGTCAAACTTTTAAACAATCTCCTTACTTTAGTGCAGTGCTTCAGCCTACCTTCTGTGACAGCACTGAGACAGAGGTGTGTCCAACAAATTGATTCTAGTCTTGTCACATCGCCCTCTACAAGCACATGGGTTTGCACATCCTCTGTTCTGCTAGGCGTCAGCACTCCATCTGCTTCCTGACTTAACAGAAACGTGTGAAAATCTCTCACCCACTACTCACTGTCCTTGAGGTTTAGCAACTTTTCAAAAGTCTTTTTCTTTCACTCTCATTTTAGGAGTTTGTAAAGAAGCAGTGAACCTATGTCCATCCTCCATATTTAACCAGGATTCCTGAGCTGCTCTTCAACTGCTTAGCACTCCCTGGGTACCCGCCTAGCAGAAAAATTACTTCTCTATTTCAAATATGGTGAAGATGTTTCTAGCTCAAAAATCTCACTCTATCAAACACATGGTCCTGAATTAGTATTGCTCAAGGCTGAGATTCAGACTTTAAAGGTTTGAAAATAAATACACAGACCTTGGTTATTTTGCAAAGATTGCTTCATCACACACACCAACTAACTGGTGCTGAACTCTCAGGATAATATGCCTTTAAAAACAGAGACAGCTCTCTCACCTCCCAATACATTATGGGGAATTGAAGTTTACACAAAGGAAACTAGCACTTTCCTAGATGAGTAAAACTGATCTAATCTATAACTACAGCTATCATCAAAGTAGATAAAAATTTTCAGTTGTTAAGTAAAAAAGTCACATTTCACGGTATAGACTGTTACATTCAAAAGTACATAAGGCACAAAACTTAAATGATTTATACACAGAGAAGTATGCTTGTTATATTAAATACCAAGCATTTCCAGGGAGAAAAAGCAGAGGTAAAAAGCTAGGAGAAACTTAAAAAAAAAAGGCAGATTTAGAATAAAGGAACTGGAGAAACTAAAATCATTTTACGAATAAAAATTTGAGTATTTTCCAAAAATCAGCCAGGCACGATGGCAGGTGCCTGTAATCCCAGCTACTCGGGAGGCTGAGGCAGAAGAATCACTTGAACCCAGAAGACAGGTTGCAGTGAGCCAAGATCACGCTATCGCACTCTAGCTTGGGTGACAGAGGGAGACTCATCTCAAAAAAGTTTTTTGAGTACTTTCTACCAAAAGAAAAGATAAAAGTTTCTAATAATACAAGTCAGGCCACTTTGTCTATCATTTATACTGTTACTTATCTATTGAAAACTAGGGAAATAAAGCCTAGCTGACTTTTTAGTAGAAACTGACAAGCAGTCAATGGAATGCTGAGACCAAAAACAGACCTGCATACATATGACATGTATATATTAAGTGATTTTCAACAAAGGTGCCAAAGCAATTCAATGGTGAAAACAGTCTTTTCAACAAGTGGTAACGAATCAACTAAACAAAACTTTACCCTTGGCCCATATCATATCTAAAAATTAACTCAATGAATTAGCCTAAGTGGAAGAGCTAAAACTATAAAGCTTCTGGAAGAAAGAGAAAATCATAGAGAACAATTTTTCAAATATAATACAAAAAGCACAAGTATAAAAACAAGAATAAATTGACTTCATCAAAATTTAAAACTTGTTTTTCAAAAAACAGTCAAGAAAATAAAAAGGCAAGCCACAGACTATAAGATATTTGCGAAACTTATGTCTTACAAAAGACTTGTATTTAAAATACATAAAGAACTCTTACAACTCAGTAAAACAAAGACAACCCAATTAAAAAATGAACAAAAGATATGAACAGAAACTTCACCGAAGAAGGTATGTGGGTAGCAAATAAGCGCATGAAAAGATGATCGATGTTAGTCATCAGGGAAATAAGATTCTACTACAGACCCACTAAAATGGCTAAAATTAAAAAAGACTGACCATACCAAGTGCCGGCAATGATGTAAAGCAATTGGAAAGGTCAGTATACATTAAGAGAAAATCACCATCTATCACATACACTTAAATGTGAAATGTGAGGTGACAATACCAAAGTGGTACAAGCTGGCATGGAGAACTGGTTTTCAAGTATTATTTCGAGGACCTTTTTTAGGTTTCCAAAACATCACGCTATCCATGTTTAAAATAATGTAGCAAATTAAATTCTTTCTTTATAGTTGCACTTTTATAGTCTTTAAACAAAGACTGACTACAAAAAGTAAGTCTGGGTCATTTCACCTCCATTTGAATTAACTATGTTAAAGAATCACGACCTATTCAGCTTTATAGCACCTGTTCAGAAACAAAACAAATAAGATTTTTTTGACAATATTTTAAAATTCCACTTTCCACCTGGTTATCTCTTCTAAAAGAATCACAGAACTTGGGCATCACATAGTTTAGTCTTCCATGCAATGTAAGCTTATTTTTTTTTTGACCTGTCAGTTCACTGGATTCATATTTATTGACTTACCAACTATAGAGTTGGGTCTATACCCTGCAACAAAAACAGTCAAGGTTCCCTACCAAGAGAGATGACTTTGAAAATGAAAAACTGAAAACAGGACAGAAAATGTTTAATGTATACTACTTTTTGTTTTTAGGTTTACTACCCAGCTCTCATTCAGGTGCCCCAATTACTTAACAAAGTTAACACAATATTGATTTTCAGGGATTGCCAGCAACTACCCCATAGTACAAAGAATCCTCCATTGAGAATTACCTATGCTTTGCTATTACATTAAAAAAAAGAAAAAAACTTTCCTTCCTTTTCTGTAGTAAAGTTCATGGGTCATAAACTGGAATGTCTTTTCAAATTAAACACTGCAAATGCAACTGAGGTAACTGTAGGGTGCTTCGGTATAATTTAGAAAAGAACTTTGAATTGCACCAGTTATGAGTCCAGATGTCTGTACATGAGTCTAAATGCTGACAAATAGCCTAAATTACAAAATAAGCAGTTTCTCAATTAAATGAAATTTACAGATGTTTTCAAAAATAAAGAGCATAAGCCTAATGAAAACATAAAAAGGAATAATACAAGTCAAAGACACATTTAATCCCATAAGGTAAATATCAGCTATAAAGTTATTTTTAAAACCATAGATTGACAATCCAATTTTTAGAATGTCATTCAAATATAACGAGCTATCATACTAAAGTGAAACATGATTGCCAATTAACTCATTTGACCAAATTACAATTATTATAAGAAATATATAGGCCTAATCCAAAATGTAACTTCATCCAACTATAAAACTAAGAATTTGAGTTATCTTATTAATCCTAAACATGTTTAACCATATCTAAGAGTTTAGATTCTAGTATACTTAGTGACACCTATGATAAATATTCTCACCTGTTCAATGACATAAAAGGCAAATTCCAGTCTTTGTTTCTGGAGCATTGGAATCAGATGTAAGAAAAAAATTGGAAGATGTTCATGGCGATTACGGAAAGGAATGAGAACTGCCACCTTTAAAACAAAATAGTCATGTATGTAAATAAATACAGTAGCACATCTTAGAGGTAAGGATAAAAATTAACCCTTGAAAACTTCTGATGGTTTTAAAGCCACATCCTTATGAACTTTCTCACCACAGATACAACAGTAAGCACACACGGAGAAAGCCCTTGCTGCATGCTGCTATGGTCTTATAAAGCTCAGAGGTAGAAGGAGCTCTGAAGGTTGTTCTAAGGATTGTGGTCTTTGACCCGTGAACACCATAAGAAACTATAGAAGGATTCTGAAAAGAGTGATAAATCAGATGTAGTGACTGCAAAGACTACTTTGGTGGCAATATGGAGAGCAGACTGGAGAAGACCAAAAATTGACTCCAGGAGCTGGTTGGGCAATTAATACAGTTGTTGAGAAAAGAGGTAATGGTAGCTTAAACTAAGAGGAAGATAAAGGAAAAGAGAAGTACATGGGTTTTCAACACATGTAAGAGGTAAGCTAGCAGGATATGGTTATCAACTGGGCATGAAAAGTAAGGGAGGGGAATGTATCATAAGAGTAACTTCTCGGTTTTAGAGTAGATCCTAAATAATAACTTTCCAGATTTTAAATTGAATTTAAAAGACATTTCACTTGAATATCTACTATCTTATACATGGTTTCTCTGTCCTAGATATATTTTTCAGAAATATAATAGAAACCAAAGTTTTCACACATGTATTCCAGCCACAGCATACAAAAAACCTCAATCATACATGATATTGGCCCAAAATAAAGGTGAAGTATGATAATATAATATTTTTCATTTAATCAAAATGCAGAATTAAGTTTCTGATAAATTTTTAAAATTTACTTCAGTGGTAGGATAATATTCAGTTTAAAATGAAATTGGTAACATACCATAACAAGAAAAGATGATGTAAGCAGCACAGAAATTTGTCTTTTATGAACCAAAGAAATTCGTTCTCATCCAAAAAGTAAAAGAAAAAAACACATACATGGAAATGAAAATCGTTTCTTAGTATATTAATCTTTCTTCTAATATGAAATTAAAAACCTAATGGGGCCGGGCGCGGTGGCTCACACCTGTACTCCCAGCACTTTGGGAGGCTGAGGCAGGCAGATCACAAGATCAGGAGTTCAAGACCAGACTGGCCAACATGGTGAAATCCCATCTCTACTAAAAAAATACAAAAATTAGCTGGGCATGGTGACTCGTGCCTGTAATCCCATCTACTTGGGAGGCTGAGGTAGAAGAACTGCTTGAACTGGGACCCAGGAGGTGGAGGTTGCAGTGAGCCAAGATGGCACCACTGCACTCCAGCCTGGGCTACAGAGCAAGACTCCATCTCAAAAAAAAAACAACCTAATGGAACTCTCAAATCCAAACTTAAAAACACCATTTATATAAAACGTTTTAATGTAATACTAGAATAAATGAATGATCATCAGTCATCACTAATTCAAATCCTCTATTTCTTGGATCCAAACTTTGTCATACAATCTAGGCCTCCTTACAATTTAGATTTTGCCCTTGAAAAAGCTAAACTGGTTTCTAAATTACTTTTCTCAGCAACTTCCTAGCTAAGCTGCTTTTATTATTATTGCAAATTTTCTAATAAAATTGAAATTAAAACAAGTTTTCTACAGATCATAAATTCCAAAATCATTAGATTTTCAAAAAAAAAAAAAAACCACAACAGTGAAAGTATATCTAACCAAAATACCTCTGTGTTACTCTATAATTTGGATTTTTTAAATATACAATCTAAACTGGTTGTAACAGAATATTGTGAAAGATTAAATCTATGATTTACTAAAATTTTACCTATACCAAATAAAGTTTATTAATAAATGAATGCAAATAATTGAGAATTAATAAGCTTTGCACCTAATCCTTTTAAAATCAGGACATGACATTAGGTATCATCAACAGAAAATAATATTTACCCATGTATTTTACATTACCAGGATCACAGACGGGAGAAATGTTTAAATTATTTAAAGTTTCACTTACAAAGAGAACAAAAGATGGTTTAGTAAAATTGAAGATATCTGAACTATGAACTCCACCATTCATTTTTCTTTAATGCTGATGGAATACCAAAAAAAAACAGACAATGGCTGCTATGAGGCTGATGTTTTCATGATTATATTAATTACTGCATATCTATCTGGTAAGTGGTAGGAACTAAAGAGGTCTGGTGCCCCTGCCAGCCCAACTTTGGGTCCCGTTCCTGTTTGGTTTTCCCATAAGGTCTCCCTTGGCTCAGGAGCCTGAGGACCATGAGGCTATCCCAGCAATACCAACCCAACACCCAAGACCTCTTTCTTGCCCTCATGCAATGGCTGCTAACTATGCTGGAACTATATACTGAGGGAGACATTGGTATTCAGTGCCAATGGCTGGCATATTCAAGTAATTCCCAAACCAAAACAACTGCCAAATCAGCTCAGGGGCCCCTAGGTTTACTTTTAGGATGGGAAAGTGCTATGAAAAGTAAAAGGAACAAACGGGGTTAGATGGTGAGTACATATCGCACCACTGACCTTATCTAAGGCATATCCATGTGATACCATGTAGCTTAATAAGTCAAGCCTGCTCTTCTTGATTTTGCATTTGGCCACATGTCAATAAGCTGTAAAAGCAGTTAAGACCAATTATAGATATTTGAGGGAAGAAATTATTAAATGGCTGCAGAGTCCTGATTAAAGACAGTGCGTATTAATTAAAGACAATTAGATTGAGTGATGAGCTGAACATATAAGGATAAAGTTCTAGCTCCTAATCATCTCTTCAATGAAGTATTTAAATATCAAGAGTTCTTTTTTTTTAATCTTACAAAGAAACTGGCAAGGTAATAAAAGAAAGAAATTACCAGTGTCTTGGCAAATTCAAATAAGCTAACCTAACGTGTTAATAGCAAATAGATGTCTAAATTTTCATGGGAGGGTTATTAAAGATTGTGAATACGTGACAAATCTAAAGCAAAGATTTTTATTAAAAGAAAGCTAAGCAATATCTTAAAAATTCAGCTGGCTCATCCCTTCTCGTGTCTATGAAAGAATGTTCTCCATAGTTTACAGTTTTTTGTCTAGAAAAGATCTGTGTTCTGTGATCATTTATTTTAAGGCTTAATAGCCTGTTTCAGGTCATTCATTCTTCTCTGTGCCCTAATTTGCTGTTTGAGCCACTCTCTTGTTGATATACCTCCAGTGGAGATGGAGAACATCTTGTCATAATCTTCTGATAAAACAACACTTCATCTTCCCGAATCTCTCCTCACCACCTCTTGCTCATGCAAAATTATTCCATTCAGTTTGCTCCTACTTTAAAACCACAAATCTTGCTGAACATATTCACCATTTTGTCCCTTGCTTATTTTTTCATATATACACCATGAGGAGATAATCAAGAAAAATGTTTATCACATCAATTTCTCCCACCAAGTTTCTGTCCTACTTTCAAATTTTCAGCACACCACCAACTACAGTGTCCCTAAATGACATGGCTTTAGACTCAGTAACCTTAAGGTGAATCTAGCTATCTGCCACTGAGTAAGTAGAAGCTAGTAAGCTCTTGTTCTCCTCCAGTGTTTTTAGTTCCATCTTCCTATTCCTCCTCATTTCCAGCACCTACAGAAGCAGTTCTCAAACTGGAGGCACTTGGTTAAAAATGCAAGTTCTTGTTCCTTCCTACCAAAAGAATCAGAATGTTTGAGGAGTGAGTTCAAGAATCTGCATTTTTTTTCTTCTACAGATGGAATCTCATTCTATAGCCCAGGCTGGAGTGCAGTGGTGTGATCATAACTCACTGCAGCCTCAAACTCCTAGGCTCAAGTGATCCTTCCACCTCAGTCTCCCAAAGCACTGGGATTACAGATATGAACTACCACACATAGCCAAAAATCAGCATTTTTACCATATGCCTCAAGTAGTTCTGAAACAGGGGCCAGAACTCATCTTTGAGGTACACTGGACTAAACTCCAGGCCTCTGGGTAGACAAAAGCATCAAGCATCTGCCTGGTTCTTGAAGCCTGGAAGTTATAGACCAAAGTTGTTCATCAAGCCCTCCATCTGAAATCTGAATGGAAAGGCAATGTCACAGGTGAACAATTCACTTTTAATGACCTGCAAAGTATCCTCATGTTCTTCTTTAGATATATGCTTGCCCCATAAGGTGTCCAATCTGTGCAGAAATCTTCCACTCAAACCTGCAGCACTCACAGATACTGAGGAATTACTGAAATTACCAGTTTTGAAAGAGATCTCAGTTCTAATTAATTTGCCATCAACTAACTTCACTGGTATTTTTTCTCACTTAAAAAAGGGGCCTCAAATATTAACAATCCAGTTGACGACAAATGTTTAACATAAATCTAGTTATTTCTTATTTCCCTCTCTCTCTTCACTGTTCCAATATGAGAATGGAATATTATCAGTAAGCAGGCAGAGACAGGCAAGGGGAGAAACTATTTACTAAATATTTAGTGAGTTGATAGTTATATAATATTCATATGAGTATAGTTCACCTCTGAATAATCTCCAAAATTCCTCTCATACCTTTAGTTGTATAATTCTGAACTAGAGAGTATATTCTGAGAAGGATTTGCTAAAAATTGAAATAAAATCAGTATTATCATATAGTTCCTAAATAAGTTAATTTATTTTTATTTTTATTTTGAGACAGAGTCTTGCTTTTTGCCCAGGCTGGAGTGCAGTGGGGCAATCTCAGCTCACTGCAGCCTCAACCTCCTGGGTTCAAGCAAATCTCTTGCCTCAGCCTCCTGAGTAGCTGGGATTACAGGCATGTGCCACCATGCCCAGCTAATTTTTGTATTTTTAGTAGAGATGAAGTTTCACCATGTTGTCCAGGCTGTCTCAAACTCTTGGCCTCAAGTGACCTGCCCAACTCAGCCTCCCAAAGTGCTGGGAATACAGGCGTGAGCCACTGTGCCCAGCCAAAATAAGCTAATTTTTAGATCCCTGAATTAGTTTTCCAGGAAATCCTTTCAATACTGTTACCTACTGAGTCATATGTAGTTTATAGTCAGTTTACTAATATCCCTAAATAGGAACTACTCATGTGATACAACTGTCTCCTGGAAAATGAGAAGAAAACAAACAAAAAAATTTTAAATCCATCTGGTATAGATGACCGGAAACAGGACAAGTATACTTCACTTTTCCTATCCCAAACTGTTCCACTAGTATGCCACCCAGAGCACACCTGAGCAGTGTGCTACATCCTGTACAAACATCTGTCTAAGCATCAACCACCATGCTATGCCATAGCCTCGGTGACTGAGTGTGCTTCTTTTTCCATTAACATTCAACATACACAATCAGCACCCAACTGTTAAAAATAATTTATCTGCCCAGGCTATTTTTAAAGGGTAGAACGTATGTAAATTGGGCTGCATTTCACAAAGACACAAATGTGAGGAAAATCAATCAAGAAATATGAAGAGATTCATTTATTAAATGAATCCCAAAGCACTGGGATTACAGATATGAACTACCACACATAGCCAAAAATCAGCATTTTTTATTAAATGAATCTGATCTGGGAAACAGCATAAAGCAATTATAAAATAAAATGTTTTGCTAAAATTGGTACTGGAATCCATTTAAGTAGCTTCACAACTTGCTCAAGGCCATAAGAAAGCTGAACATTTAGTGAATCATTTGTGACAAGGCCAAAAAGGCTTTTATTTACCTTATAAAGTCAGTTCAACAAAACTGTGTTTAGTGCTTACCTTACACAAGACAATGCACTCTGTGTTGGGAATACAAATATAAATAATACACATCTTCAAACACAAAGAGTTCATGGTAGAGTCAGAGGGTCTTTTTCATGAGTTTAACAGCATATGATTTTCCTTCCTACTAGTGATTTTTTTGTGGGGGTGGTTAACATACAAATATTCTAGAAGCATACTGTTTTAAAAGGGAAAACTGAAACTGTTTCCAGATCAAGGCTACATCACGATCCTTTAGGAAATAACATTTAATCAGTTGTAATTTTCATTTGAATTACATAAATGCTATTTCTTACTCAAGTGTAATGATATTAGATAAATATGCACTTATTAATCAATTTCCTAGTTTTGAGGGCAAGTCTGGTTTAAATTATGGCTTTCAATTTTTTTTAAAGCAGCAGAGACAGACCCACCCCCTTAGTTTTTCAACTAACTAACTGAATAGAACTCTGATAAAAGACTGAAAGCTTAGGCTGTGCCTTCCAAAGCTGAGAAGAGCCCAAAGTCCAACCTTTCAAGTCCAACAGTGATCTCTGAGCAGTCTCTTTAGAATCTTGGATGCTGAGAAACAGAGCTTGAAGACCCCAATGCCAGCCAGACCAAACTGAAAATCAGGATATTAATATCCTGCCAGTTAGTTCTCACAATTCCAGAAATTGGTGACGCTATGCCTGCAGGTGTCAGTAGTCATTAGGGACAGCTGCAGGAGACAGGGAACTCACAGCCTCTCTTCCAGACAGAATAGAACAACAAAAAAAATCTATTTTCCAAGCCAAACTCAAGTCACGTATTTATTACCAGGAACTCAAAGATAACGAACCGAGCACCTATTTTGTATATACACAGGTGCATTTACAGTCTTCACACATAACACTTAAATCACATTTGAATTATAAATAGTAAACATTAAAGACAAAATTTTGATGTTTTAAATGTATTAAGACTTAAAGAGATTTGTCTCTGTATTTTGAATCAAGCACATTCTTTTCTCAAATGCGCAGTAATGGTTAAATTGCTTATGAAAAGAATTTACCTCACCTTCCATCTGGGTTTACAGTCTTTTGGCCTCCAATGACCCCCTGGCTCGATATCTAAATCCTTGGAGAAGAGCTGATGAATTTCATCAAAACTGACTTCACTTACATTGACATTGAGGAATCCTCCTACAAATTCAAAATGTGAAGAACTGTTTTAATATTTTTTGCCTCAAAGATCTAGTAAAACAAATAATCAGCAGGGTGATGGCATAACTAGTTGCCAGGACAATACAGTTTATTCCTGCTACCACCACAAAATTATGAATAGCACCCCTTTCACTTTTAGTTTCAATGATAATATACATGGTCACCCTACTATGTTCGGTAATCAGCCAAAGAAATCAAATTCTTTTTTAAGTAAACCTTTGCTTTTGGGTAATACATTGAATAATTTAATATTCTTTGGAAAATGTTTGCATGTCATTGTAACATTGCAATATAACAACTATTCAAGTATTTTAATACCACTTTTAGTTTTCATATTTTCAACACAGGGGACACAACAGCACAGTACTTAAGAATGAAATAAGCAATCAGATTGACTAGGAACCAACTCCTAGCTTCTCTTGGGAAAATTATTTAACTTCTCTGTGCCACAGCTTCCTCTTCTGTAAAAGGGACAGTGATGCCTGCCTCCCAAGGTGGTTGTATCCACTTGATGAAATTATCTGTGTGAAGGATCACATGCAGTGTCAGGCATTAGGTACAATCAACAAATGTTAACTACTATTACTGTTACCTACTGACATTTCTTAAGAGGGAATTTGCAAACAATTCAAAGCATTGATTCTGAACACTTAACATATATCAGGCCCCTTGGCATACAAAACTGAAAAAGCACTTCTAAGATATTTCTAATAGGAACTCATTCTCCAAATTAACAAATATATGACATTACTGGAGGTGTTTTTACTAGTAGTAAACTAGTAGACTAGTATACATTAGAAATAATGTATACCATTGAAACAGGAATGAATCTTGGCTGGAAAACCACTTCCACTAACCCTAAAACAGAACTAAAAATCAGGAAGCCTCTGTATCTCCCCTGATTTAAAATAGCTGCATGATCACTAACATCCCTATCTTCAATGATTTCACTGTTAGAGAGAAAAGAATGTAGAAAGCTATTGAAGCAAAACTACAGATCATCTTTTAGCAGTTTTAATGTCATTTGTTAACTTCCAAATAGGTACAAATTGCTCTGGAGCACCCTCCAGTCAAATTCTTCTCTCTGACCTCATCTCATAAAATACCAACGAACAAATGTTGAGGTTTCCATTTCGAGTCTTCTGAATTTCATGTGGCCACAATTTCACATAAAAAACACTCAGTTCCTCTCTAGAGGGCCTCTTTCCTCCTGCTATTCTGTATTTCAGGAGTTTTCACAATGGCCTCTCTTCCTGTCCCCACTTCTTCCTAACCAGGCAGAGCTGTCAGTAGCCTCCAGAGGCATGCTAGAGAGTATTTTACATCGAAATGCCTGCTTCACAGAATAAGTTAGGAAAAAAACTGCAATTTTCTAATGCCTGCCTGCTCTACTGACAACATTTGTGGTCTTTTATAACCACTCAGCCTTCAGTGTGACAAGATACGCATAAACTAGCTAATCTTAGAAAGGTCAGATTTATCCAAAAGCAAGAGAAACCTATGAATTTGCAGAGAAAGAGTAAGTAAAACGGAAGATTGATCAGTCAACCTAAGTACAGACTATCATGACTCAGCTGACAAAGAACAGAATCTAACATTGTAATCAAATAAAATTTACACAAATAAATCTGATACATTTAATAGTATGCATGATTGCTAAAATGATAGTAATTAGGCTAAATAATAAGCAGTTCATATAAGTAACTGAAGCTGACATTCTTTCTGCACTGTTAAACCAAATTTTTTGTCTTTTTTCCAGCTTTATTGCTTCAACAGCTGTAATCATCATTATTGTCAGCAGTTTTCTCCAGCATCATTTGCAGTTTAATTTCCATCTCTAACGCATATGTGCTGGCAAGAGACAGGCTTTATTTCTTTCCCTCAATAAAGAGGGCTTCCTCTGTCCAACACATATTAGGATACCCATGCTCGAGGTATCCTAAGTTCACACTCCTTGGTCTGTGCACTCCCACCTCATCCACACCTTTCAGAGTCCATCAGCAGCTTTCCTATGTGCTTGTTGCCCTTTGCTCTGAAATCCTAATAACGTGCTGATTGAAAGCCATAGATTGACCTGGTGGAATGCTCCCCATGATAATAGGAACATCGCTATACTAGGGAGTGTGGGCAGCCAGGCCTCCCAGGACAGGTATTGTCACCACTGGGAACAGCGAAAGTGTGATCAGAGACAGGAAGAACAAACACTCATCACTGGGGTGGAGTGGTATTAGGGAGAAAATCGGATACATAGGAAGGGAAGGGAAAAGGGCATGTAATAAAAAGAGTGGCCGGGAAGAAGTACCCTGTAGATAAACTAACGGTGGTGTGCCTTCCAAATCATCCTCAAGAAGGACCTCTCTCAGGGATCCTGTGGTTGGAGGAGGGAGGACTCGGGCTCTCCCAACACAATCACTTTCGTGGTTTTTGCGTACTCTTTTGTCCCCTTTAGGTTTCACTCAAGAAAGCCTTCCACTGCTTTACCAACAAAACAAAAAGCATCAGAAAACCTGCTATGAATGATGCCAGGAGAGGAAGCCTCCTTCTTGTAAAGAAGGAAGCCATCAACTTGGCCAGCCTCCTTTATTTCACTTGCTGAGCTTTCAAGGGCAGCTGAAGAGATCCACTGAACTCCACAGAGAGCCAGTCTTCACTCTCCCCTGTGCTGAATCTGAGATTTTTTTGTTGTTGTTCTTAATCCCAGATATGACAGTATAAATCTGAGATATTTAAATGGTACAAGTGGTTTCTTTCCCAGTTAAAGATCAGAAAATAAATATAGACTGAAATCCATTTACCCAGCAATGCAATAATTTACCAAATACTGAATTTCACTATTTTGAAGGTGGTGCTGGGGTCAGAAAGGAAAGAGCAGGAGAATTGAGTGTCTAAAGAATGGAGGGGCTGCCAAGTACCTAGAGGGTCAAGGTGAAGGACAGGGAACTCAAGTCACCTGGAAGCTACCTTTCAGTCGTGTGTGCCAAACTGCTTCTGTCATGTGTGAGAGTAACTTAGTTGCACCATTGGTTATGTAGGACATTTACTATAATTTCCTAATGCTGAATTTGCAAGATACAGCAATGCTGCCCATCTGGGAAAGCTAGGCACGCATGGGCCCAAACAAGGGGCTTACCGTGCCACGGATGATAATGTACATGGCATGATTTAGGATTTTGTTTTTTCAATTAAAATATAATTCTTAAAATAACAAATATTCAAAACATATGAATTATCTATATTTATATGTTTCTAACATTTCAAGTAAAATTTAAGGCATATAATCTCCAGAGAGAGAGAACTGTTTGCTCTATAAATCAATAATTTTAAATGACTATTTCATTTTGTTTGGAGTCTATATCTATTTTTTGGTATCTAAAACCTAATTCTAGATATGTTGGCTTTTGTCTGTTTTACCCTCAGGGTTTTAAATGTGCACACCTCAAAGCTCTGATGACAGTGTCAGAGAAAGACCTGAATTTCCCCTAGAAAGGTCCCTTAAGGCAAATTCCTCTCCAAAGCTGGAAAAGCATTTTTATGATAAGATGGGACATTCCCTCCCCCATCCTCTGTGCTGCCTTCTGAATACAGCTCTGAGGCTGAACAGTTATGAGTCATCCAGCTATTGGTCACCTCCTGTCCTTTCTGAAGTTAACACCAGACATTTGCCTATGTCAAATGCTTTACTTAAGCTTCTAGAATTTTACAACCTCTGCTTAACAAACTATTTCTTACTCAAGTGTATTCTTGAAGCAACCAAACCTAAGCATTCTAAACATAAGACAGAGCATTAGTCACACATCCCCACTGCCAAAGGCAATGCCTGGACATTGAATGAATGAATGAAAGAATGAGTAGGAAGATTCCTGTCTCGTCCCTGTTTCCACCTTCCTGCATTTCTACTCCCAGGCTCCATCAGGTGCTAACATATTTCTTTAGGACATTTATGCAAAACTATGCATCCAACAAAGGCCTAATATCCAGAATCTATAAGGAATTTAAACAATTCAACAAGCAAAAACAAATAACTCCATTTAAAAATGAGCAAAAGATAAGAAATTCTTAAAAGGAAACATTCAAGTGGCCAACAAACATATTAAAAAATGCTTCAAATAACTCATCATCAGAGAAATGCATATTAAAACCACGATAAGATACCATCAAATACCAATAGGAAAAGCCATTATTAAAAAGTCAAAAAACAACAGAAGACAAGGAGACACATAGACTGTTGGTGGGAATGTAAGTTAGTTGAGCCCCTGTGGAAACCAGTTTAGAGATTTCTCAAAAAACATAAACCAGATCTACCGTTTGACCCAACAATCCTATTACTGTGTAAATATCCAAAAGAAAATAAATCATTGTACCAAAAAGACATGCACTCTTATGTTCATTGCAGCAATATTCACAATAGTGAATTCATAGTGACACCCAGCTCTGTGTCCAGAACCTCAATCACAGTCACCTAAAAATGACTGGCTTTCAACTCTGACACTGTGCCCTTTCATTAAAGCCTCCTTCCCTTTCACCTTCCACCATCCTCCTCCCACAAAAGTCCCTCTTCAATTTCACAGAGACTTGAAGTCCTCTCTGCTGTCTCCACATTTTCCTCTATCTGGCCTCTGTATAAAATGGTTTGCTAATTTTAGTGTGTGCCTAAGAATTACCAGCTGTGCTTGTTTAAAATGCAGGTGACCGACCACATCATCAAAGTTTGTGTCAGCTGAATGTGGGTCAGTTGGGTCAATTGACCCAAAAGTGACAGTTTGGGTCAAGTTTACGGCCACTGGGTTTACCCAAACACATTTCAGCAGCTTAAACTACCCACCATTGAGGAAAAGCTAGAACCCACTCTCCAAACCCCTCTAGCAGGTAGGAGTGCTCATGTGACCAAACGTACCTGTAGAATGGAAACAGTAGCAAACAACGTAAGGACAAGGGTACTTTGCAAAACTATCTTTCAAGTAAAAGTGGTGGCAGAAGCT